ACAGGACACCATCATATATCTGGAATATTGGTGAGTGTGGCGTTAAACAACAATCAACATCAACAACTTGTGACATGAGGGTGATGACAAGGACCCCCTGACTTTCATGCTTAATTTTAATCACTGCTTCATGTCAAATGCAGCTTGTAAACATGGAAGGTTTAGTACTCATACATACCATCTATTAAGAGTGTCCAATGTTTTCTTCGTAGTTAGGCTCAGAACATTTCACCCACCCTTCATAAGTTATTGTTTATGAACTTTTAGCTTGACATGTCACAACTGGGATATATTCAATATGATTACCAAAGGAGTTTTAAGCAGGATTGTTTACTTTGCCATCAAGTCCTCTCAATTTCAAAAGACCAGTGCCAGGCATCAGCTCCTGGAGAAATTGGAATCCATTTTGTGTGGAATATGAAAACAGAATCCTCAGGATTCCAAGGATCTTCAGTTTAAATAAAGCCGAGTAGAGTATGTATTCACTCATTCAACTTTTTCATCATGGCTGAAAGGAAATCTTTAACTATTTTTTTTATTGACTAATCAATTGGAAAGAACCAATAGATTTAACACTGTGGCTGGCAATGTTTGGGAGAACACCTGAAATATTGATGTGTGTTGCATGACAAGCACCTGCCCATTGTGAAAACACTGATCTATAGATAATTGGGAAAAATTATAAATATGTTGTCCAATCATTGATTTCCAGATTCATGCATGAATAATTCACATTCTTTGGTTAAAAAAGGTCATTCAGTTTTTCCAGAATAATCATACTTTGGATCAGTATAGTTTTTCAAATTATATCAAGAGCATATGGTTGGATGAAGTCTGTAATAGGCATTTAGAAGCTGGAAGAACATGAATACATGAGACTTTTTATGGATAGCAACTTCTTTTATTCTATGTCACATATGGTTGGAGTAGGAACATGTTGTCTCATTTTGAAAGTGTACAAGATAGAAAGTTTCTTTATAAAGGGCCAATGACTTTGCAGTGCTAGATTGTTCTGGTACAGTGTAGAATATCATGAGGCAGTGTGGCTATCCTGATTACTGTAAGAGTGGTGTGATTATTAGTTGTGGGACAATGCATCAGTGGATCGCAAATTTTTACTTCTCAATACAAGTATCGATCACAATCGAAACAGAGTAAAAAGTATCGATTCTGACCTTAAATATATTCTTTAATAAATGTTACACCAAACACTAATCATGCTAATTACTAGTGAAATTGTGTTGTGAAAACGTAAATATTTTCATCAATTGCGCCATACTTTACACTGCCAACTGTAAATGTTTAGTGTGCCAGGTATTTGGCCATCCTGTCTATGAAACACATGGCTTACACACCACAGAAAAGAGCATATGCAAGTATCATGATACGTATCGTATCGCGAGCAAGGTATCGTGATTCGTATCGGATCTCACAGTTGGTCCCAGCCCTAGTGGTTATGTCCTTTTGGTACAGTTGACCAGACACTTCAATCATCTTACAACCATTCAACAAAGTGACCACAGACAGGATAGTTGAAAAAGCAACAGAAAGTTTTAGAAATGCTAACCTCTTCCATGCAGAGTGTTCTGAGGTTGTGTATAAGAACAACAGCTGTTTGAGCCCATATTGCTGTGTTTTGTGCCCCTTAAATGAATTGGTAGCACATAGAAGGCCATGTTTGACAACTATTTATCATGGTCAGAACTGTCAGAAAGGGGTGTTCCATTAAACACATCATTACATAGAAGAAGAGCTCCATCAGATGACCGTATTAACTTAGAACAAATTATGGCTGAATCTCCCTGGTGTATAAAGCGCTTGATTAACCTAACTTGTCCAGGCCAGCTATCCTGACATGTAGTCATGATAACCTACACTTGTCTGCTCCCAAAGTTTCAGCTTAATAACCACTGTCAAGCCCTGTTAGATTGTAATTAAGGAGTCCGCTAGTGTGCCTCGGTCACCAGCCGTGTGCACCTTCATCTGTCTCTCGGGCCCCTCAAGCAGGGTGACTGCTGACTAGGGCATCGGATGTCTCTGATACATTACAGTGTATTCTTAACAGTGTCCAAATAAGAGAGGTCCTGGGCTCCACGTCTTCTGTGGTATTTGGATATAGGGGTGACCCTCTTCAGCTTGTAACATGAGGAACAGGTGAAGATCCAGGTTAGAATAGGTCTTCAGCAACACTTGCTTGTCGTAAAAGGCGACTGTTGTGATTGTCGGCAGATGCGACTTTTGGGATCGGGTGGTCAGGGTCGCTGACTTGGTTGATGCATGTCATCGTATCCCAATTGCATGGATTGATGCTCATGATGTCAATCACTGGATCTGGTTCAGACTTGATTATCTACAGACCTCCGTCATATATCTGTAATATTGGTGAGTGTGGCGTTAAACAACAATCAACATCAACAACTTGTGACATGAGGGTGATGACAAGGACCCCCTGACTTCATGCTTAATTTCAAGCACTGCTTCATGTTGAAACTGAATGTTTCCGGGCATGACAGGGGTCTAGATGCTGTGGTCGATGCCTGAAGGACCCCAGGGTCCTCTTTAGTTTCTAACACTGTGATCTCGAGTTAAGCCTTATGGGACTGCACTTGTTGCAAGTGCTCAGATGGTCTGTTTGTCTCCCAGAATGGAAATCTAGGAAACTGTAGAGACAGATTGAAACTGATCTTAGTTTGGATGGATTTCTTACAGTTATGGAAAGAGTTTGTCGTTTTATTTACATGAGCACTTCAACCATGGTCATCTGAGAACGTATTGACCAGCGAATATGATCATGTTGGTCAGTTCAAAGTCTCATGTAGGCAGTGGTCCATTGACCTACTTTTCTAGCCGTGCACTGAGAAGTATTAAAGTACTGGGCCCTCCTATCCTAGGCCATGTTCAAGCATGGACCCAAATATTTAATGACAATCCGCAGTTGTCTGTGATAATGTCACCTAGATCACAATATGTAATGTTTTCCTCTTAATTAACCAATTTCACTGTGCCTTTAGGTTTATCCACTGTGGGTTCTGTTATCAAAGTCACCAACCAGAGTTGCGTGTTGGAAGAGTTTCCTGGGATTGTCAGCCCAAACATAGGAGTTGAGAGAGAGAGTGCTTCCGTCTGGTCAGGAAATGAGATGATCTTTCTCTGGATGTATGGATTGGTCCGGGTTTATATACCAGATCTATACTAATCTATAGTCATTGCCTCGGGAACAAGCAATCAATTATTTTCAATTTGGTGTCTGATTACACAGTGTTTGTGAAACGGATGGTTTGGTGAAGAATGGGTTGGGGGATGTAATGTGGTGCCAAATTAAGTGCAACAAATGTAGGTTGAAATTGATAGAAAAACAACTTTGTGGATCCTCGTCTTCTGAACCTTCCAGCTGCTGAAGGAATGATAGTGGTTGCCTGCTAGACTTCAACTAATGTACACATGATGCCATTTATTATGAGTGTCAGTTTAGGTTGGTCATTCAGACACCCTCTTGAGGCTTACAGGAATGATTAGGTCACTAGCACTTATGTATGTAGTTGAAGTGATTATTGTGGAGATGGGTAATGATCTTTCCGTTCTCAAATGCATAAATGCGACTAATCTGTTGTCAATACTGTCTCGATCAGATAGGGCAGACACACTTTGGCTGAAGGGGTGCTATTTGGGGATGCATCATTGTTAATGCTATGGAAATGATCCATAGGGTGCTTAAGACATTGTACTACATAACATATGGCAATTCTTTCCTTTCTTAATCTGAGTAAACTGTTTCTACCTCTTCATGCATTATTTCCAGCACATTTTACACCCTTTACACCTGCTTTATATTTCTATCTATATTTTTAAGATCATATCCTAATTAATATTGGGACAAAACATATTTTTTTTTTTTTCACAGTTTGACATGCTCATCTTGTAGTGAAGTAACCTAAATCGATTATGTAATGGCCGCTTGTATAACTGTTCCACAGCAATAGCTATTGAACTACCCTTTCAGATGTTTTCTCTGCTGCTTTGTATCATATGATGTGACCCAGTATCATATGACATGACCCAGTATCATATGATGTGACACAGTATCATATGATATGACCGAGTGTCATATGATGTGATCCTCTATCATATGGTGTGACCCAGTATCATATGATAGTGACACAGTATCATATGATGTGACCCAGTGTCATATGATGTGACCTAGTATATGATGTGATCTAGTATCATATGATGTGACTTGTATGTAGCACGGTATCATATGATATGACTCAGTGTCATATGATGTGATCCTCTTTCATATGATGTAGTGCAGTATCATATGATGTGACATAGTATCATATAATGTGACCTGTATCATATGAAATGACCCCGTATCATATAATATGACACAGTATAATATGATGTGATCCAGTATATGATGTGACCCATTATCGTGATGTGACCTTTATCATATGATGTGACCCAGTATATGTGACCTGTATCATACGATGTGATCCAGTATCATATGATGTGACCCAGTATATGATGTGACCTGTATCATATGATGTGACCTGTATCATATGATGTGACCCAGTATCATATGATGTGACACAGTATCATATGATGTGACATAGTATCATGATGTGGCACAGTACCATATGTGACATAGTATCATATGATGTGACACAGTATCATATGATGTGACATAGTATCATATGATGTGACACAGTATCATATGATGTGACACAGTATCATATGATATGACCTGTGTCATATGCTGTGACCCAGTATCATATAATGTGACCCTTTGTTTGTGCTGGTTACTGTAATACTGCACAAGGAATAATGCTGTTCCTAGAGTAAACCCCGAGTTTGAATCATTCTTTGCCTCCTGTGACATGTAGTATAAATGTGTGTATGTGTTTCAGGTGGAGAATGTCAAGCTCATGTAGTATAAATGTGTGTATGTGTTTCAGATGGAGAATGTCAAGCTCATGTAGTATAAATGTGTGTATGTGTTTCAGGTGGAGAATGTCAAGCTCATGGACCGCTTCAATGCGAGGAAGCCAGTGGTTGGCACTCTGTACCTTACAACAACGCATCTAATCTTTGTCGACAATGCGGGCAAGCGAGAAACATGGGTAGGTCACATATTTTCCTTGCTGGTTTCTACTTCGCCCAAACCGCTGTTAATCAATTTTTTCTTGGTCTTAATGATCTGTTTAATGTGTTACTAATGACAAGTCTTGTTATAAAAGTGTCTAGGAAACCTGCCTGCCCAACAGTCAAAGCGGGGACGTTCTTGTGATGGATGCTCAAAGTTTACAACGTGCACGTCTGATGATGTGGCAGGAATCCTTTTTGTAGATCAAGTTAATAAAATAAAATATGTGAACTTATATCCTTAGTGGCATTTACATAAGTGTATCACAGAAAACTAATAATTATTCTGCTAAGCTCGTAAAATATGCATAAAATAAACTGAAATATGCAGACAAATCAATCCTAGGGTATCAAATACGCAACAAAAACTATAAATATGTTACCGAATTAGAATTAATGCATATTTTATAACTATTAGATAAAATGATTGTGTGTAAGCCGATCGCCAAATTCACTTACTGACAGTTACATTCTGGAAGAGCTTCTGCATCAAACATACTAGACAATGTACATGTTGTATCTTATTTAGTCGCTTCATGAAGAGGGAGCTGCCAGCAGACGCAGACGGGTATACTACTATTCACATAGTTTTAAATGATTTACAGGGATTGTTATGAAACAGGTTTTGAGTTAAATACCCAGATATGAAGAAACAGGTTGGTCCAAACAAATTTGAATACCCTCTAAAACTTGTGGATACCAAATACACAAATAACCAAAAGCTTATCTAGAGCTCTGATTTCATGTATAAATTAACAATGTATAATCTCTTATTATGCCCCTCTGTAGTTTTTTGTTGAAATTGTTCCATCCAGAGTAAAAGAAATCTGGACTGGCAGCATCATAAGTGGTAATTTTTCTTAATCGTGAACACTAATAATAGGGTCCAATCTTTTTTAATGTTTCACAATGCTTCCACAGAGATCGCCAATGGTCACAAATAATCTAGAGAACACTAAACTTCATAAAGCCTCTGTACTCTCTATAGACACTGTGTAGCAAGGCAAACGGTTCCCAAATGTTAGAATTGTAACTTCACTAGTCAACTTCACACAATGTTTTTCTGAAGACTCCACAGGACCAACATCATTTTGGAGTCTTCGACTTTGCCTCCATGAATTGTTTTACTTATTTTTGCAGGTTTTTCAGATCCAATTTTAATAGGAGACCCTGACTCAGGCTGACTGTAGTTTGTGATCACAGCTGGTTTTCAATTTGAGAGAATTTGGTTCATTTAACACAAAACCATTACACAATAATGGATTGTAATTATTGATGTGTTGATGGATGGTCTCAAAAGTTTTATTTGTGATAAATTAATACCTCTACATGCATCAAAGCTTGAAGTTATGACAGAATCTCGAGCTGTCCACAAATAGATGAGACTTATGAAACATGGCCACCAGAGTTTTGACAGCTTCGGTCTCACTTCCCTATGTTGCAGTCTCAAGATCAAACTTAATTTCCTGTTAGGTATTAATCACTTTGTGGCTTCTGTCTTGAAAATGATTGAAAGTAAAGAAACGTCCTCATCTCGGAGCAAGGCTTATTACATGAAGTTCTCAAGTGTAAGCAGAATCTTGATCAAAGTCTTGTCAGAACCTCATGTTTTGAGTTGAACATGTTTTGTCAGAGAGGAACACTTTGGCTATCATGTTGGTTCCTAAAGGAAAAATGTCTTGATTCAGTCATGATGAAGATTCTGTGCTTTAAGTTTAAGATGAAATCAATGACATTGATTCAGTCTGGTTGAATTATTCAGGAAATCAATACTGAATCTTCTTCAAAGGAGTGTATTCAGTCCAACTTTCTATTGGACAGTCTTGACTATTTTTTAGCCATGGATATTCAACAGAAAGTTTACCATTCAAAGTATTTCACATTTTCGTAGTTCCTGGTTTTTTGACAATGGCAAGGCTGAGTAGTCACCAGTGAGTGACTGTAAATGGTTTTTAACCCTGGGTCACCTTCGGTAATGATGTCTATGAATTGTGAATGTGGATGACGCCTGAAGAGTGCCATGTCTTTGAGCACGTTACTGCCCAAGATGCCATTCTGAGACAGCCTTAATTAAGACATAATGGCATGGTTGTTTCTTTCATAGGATTGTATAAGCTCACTGATCATTTTCTCTGACACCCTGAAAATTAAGAATTGATGTTAATGATTAGAAAATGACGTCTGAGAGAACTTCTTTGTTGTAAGTTTAGAATTAATAACAAAGAAGGTACATAGTAAGAATTTATACTTTGAATATTGAATGTTAACATCTTATGTTTAACACTAATTCGTATGTTATGTTTAGAGGATTGAAAGAAAATTGAATATTCCGCCTTCTCTAGATTTCATCAATATGGACCCACCAGTGTGCTCAATGAATATATTTGTTCTCTGCATTTCTAAGAGTCATCAAACTTCATCTGCATGGTTAATGAGCACAGACACATGCAGGGTTTTAAGGGAGAATTTTCTCTTGGTCAGCACAATGCAGTCTCTGGTATGTGGAATGTCATCATCGGTGTTGGGATTGAAAGCTGACTTTACATTTGAGTTAGGGTGCTTCACACTCAAGTCTGCAATTACCACAGAACTTTCGTGCCCTGCTTTGAAGGAAGCGAAGGACTTGGCTGGTTTCCAGGTTGGACTCTAGCCATTATTCACTAAACCAACAAACCACTGGCATCTTCGAACTTTGCCAGCCTCAGAGAGAATATAGTCATCAACATAAGCACATCTCTGCTGCCAAGGTGTTGTTAATATAAGCCAAAGCATGTTATTACAGGGATTTTTTCTGGGATTCTTAACAGTTCTTTTGGCAGGCAAAATGGGAAAAAATCATTATTTTGCTCAGACTAGTTGACATCTGTCAGAAGGGAAGTAAACACTTTATAGTTTCATCCTGGACATAATTCTACCACTAAATACAATATAAGATAATCCTCAAGACAACGGTTGTCTGCCTTTGCGATAACTCTCTCATCAATTGAAGAAGGTGGATGGATTTCTGCATCCTAACATGGCCAGTTCATGTGTCAGTGGTATTTACATGTGATATATCGGAGCAGTAGCCTGCAGACTTGGAAGTGATGCAAAATCGGAAGAAGAATGTTGTTGGGAAGCCTAGTGGATAAGGTCAATCAGGTTAGCTGGGTAATGTCATGGAAAGCTTCTTGCGTAAGACTGTCATGAGAGACTGTCAGGGCACAGGGTATTTTGTGTAGGGAAGGAGTAAATTCCGTCTTTGCGTGGTAACAAGGCTTCGTTAGTTGAGATGAATTTGCGGACTGAAACCTGGTATATGTGCGCAATGACAGCACTGAACTTCAACATTTTAGAATAATAAATTCAGTAATAATTCTTACAGGAACACTGCTTTGTGGCATTAGACAGCAGAGAAAGTTTAACAAACATTTACCTTTTCATGCACATTGTGTGAGTGGTGGGTGGTACCAGGAGATCAGGACATGCTTACCCTTTTTGTGAACACCTGGTGTCATCACATTTTCAGCAAACTATTGATACATTTTTCACCACCTTTTTGCCTTTTCGCCAAATAAAATCTGTTTCGGAAGATAATCGACCCTGATTATTCTCTGGTGTTGACATTCAATATTTGCTGTACTCTAGATAACTATTAGCAGTTGTGATTTGTGCTTGTATGTGTATGCTTATGTGTATGCGCGTGATGTTTCATGGCAGTAAATTGTTTGATGAAAACAGAGCATGACCATTACTTGATGTCCCAAACGTTGTTACCATAGCTACCTGGAGATAAATGTTTTAGCCATGGCCTCAATTACTTCTATAACATCTTAATATCAACATGTGAGAGTGATTTTGCTAATGACAAATGGCATTTGGACATATTCACCTTTATATCAATTTATCTTGCTTCTTCCACATCTTGATATCAATATCTAACAGGCAGTTTTGCAAGAGACAAATATCATTAGGACATTTTCATGACTTTATCAAATTTTGGCAGGACATGCTTCTACATCATGACCAAATTTTTAAAAATCTGCAGGAAATTTTGGATGACAAACAGTCAAATGCCCAAGAAAATGAACTGACCTGAAACCCTGTAACTCTCTCCGTTGCCATTGGCAACAGGACCAGTCTGGAGTCTAAGACTGGTAACTTTGGAGTAAGATCAAGTTTTCCTGAATTTTATATTCAATTATTATTCATTGTTATGTCAAGTATCATTCATTGTTAGCTTGATGTATTCAAATTGCTTTCTTTATCTGAGAATTTATTCAAGCTTTCCAGTTGTTTCCCTGAGAAGAAACAATTACTTAGTGTTTCAAAGCAGTTATGCAATAGCTTCCATGTGTTCACTTGCTCCTGTCATTAGTTGAAAGCAAGACTATAACTATAATAACAGGAGCCCAAAGGTAAGTAGTTACTTTTAAATGTCAGGGACAAGTATCTACTTAATGCAAACTACTTCTGTGAGCAGAAGGTCCAGATTTCGCTCCACGGCCACGCCTGTTGGGCAGACATGACCAATATCATCCTGCCATTTGGAGATGAAGATCATTTGGATTTTATTGTGGAGGCATATATGTTATAAATTTGCATAGTTTATTTTTATTAATAATAGTTTGGCTAATCGGGTGGGTTTTTTCTGCCTGTGTTTTAAAAAGAAATTGATTTGAGGCATACCTGGACCTAAAGAAATACATTTCTTCTTCCATTTTGTCAACAAGGAAGTTTTTGGTGCAAAAGCTTTTTGTTCATGATATGGCAATTTTCAAATAAATTGTTTTACAATCTTGTAAAGGTATATACGGTAAACACATGATTCTAAATAGTCCTATCCATAGTGTAGGCTTGCCTGAGGGATGGTCAAACACAAGGGCTGTAGCCATTCATGGTAGTAGGATTGTTGGCTCTGGGATAAGGCATCCAAGCCAGGTAGTTGAGGTTGTACTTCTCAGAGTGCTTACTTAAACACCTTGTCTTCAAGTAGTAC